TGGAGATGCTTTTTTTTTGCATTTGTGATAACAATTTATAAGGAAGAATGTTCCAAGGCTCACATCATATAAATCTTGTATGATAGTTGTGTAGCTTTTCATTTTAATTTGACTAATGGAATGCAAATAGAAGTTTGAGGACAAACGATTTTTATAAGACCATGTCAGTTTCTTACCAGGTAAAATCTAATGTTACAATCTTGGAGTTGCTCTTATTGTAAGGAAAGATTAAATATTCAGCAAAAATCGACCTGTTTCTGTTTTTAAAACTAAAAATCATGTATCCTCTGAATTTAGAGGGAATAGGAAGACTCTCTTCTGTATTGTTCATTTAGCTTTCACTTCCCCATGATGTTAGAGGCTGGACATTCTTCCTCTGTTTTCTAACAGACTGACAGAGGCCACCATTCTTGTGTTTGGCATACTTCCTAAAGGCCTATTTACTATCCTGCTTTATTTTAAAAGTATTTTTCTCCACATTCTTCTCCCTACTCCCTTTTTTTAGGCCAACAGTGGAAAATTGCCTGATAACAAAGTCATTGCCAGTGAACTAGGCAGTTTGCCAGAATTGAAGAAATATATGAAAAAAGTGATGCCATTTGTTGCCATGATTAAGGTAAGCTGTGGACCTTATGCAGCTGTGACCACCTGAGTCATGGTTAGATGGGACAATATAGGGAAGGGGAAAAGCCTTGGGCACAGGTCTTCCCCCAGAAATCTGTTAAAATAGTACTTTTTAATCAGTGGTGATGAGAAACGAGCTATTAGATTTGGGGTTTACCTGTGGAATTGCTGAGCATGTAAAAATATGTATTGTGGAAGAAAAATTGGTTTAGAATCACTGCATTGAATTATTCTCTTCATGTTCTGATTTTCTTTCTTTTCAGTTTGGGGAGGAAGCATGTTCTTTTGGCTTATATTAGGGTGTTTTTCCTAGAATTACTGGAACCAAGATTCTACATTTGTGTAGGGTTAGCTTAGCAGGATAAGGATAGTAGTTAGACAAGGGTTTCTCAGTAATGGCTCTATTGATATTTTGTGCCAGATAGTTCTTGTGATGTGCTGTCTTGTCCATTTCAGGATGTTTAGCAGCATCCTTGGCTTCTACTCACTAGATTCCAGTAGAATCCCCTTTCTCCCCAGTTCTGACAACCAAAAATATCTCAAGTCATTGCCAAATGTCCCCTGGGGCAAAATCACCCCCAGCCTCCCCATTGAGAACTACCGGGTTAGACTCTTGGTTTTCTTCATGTATGTAACTGATCTGTTGGATTTTTTTGACGAAGAGAAACTGAAAGAAAGATATATATTTCTTAAGATCTCAGGCTATGGGGTTAGACAAATCTTGGTTCAAATCCTGTGTATTTGTCATTTCGTAGTTTTGAGACCTTACACAAATCACTTAAATTTTCTGGGCCGCAAGATTTTTCATCTATTTGTCTATAAAATGAGGATGAACCTACTATTTAGGAGTACTGGGAGGAATTAATGAAATAATGCACCTAACACACTTAAGTAGTCTAGCCTGTCAAGAAGTAGGCTCAGGAAATGTTTAAAAATGTAAATGAGTATCTTCCAGCCTACTAGGCATACAGTGATTATTCTTGTACCGTATTTTAATTTTTGTGTCTTCTCAGCTACAGATGCCTGATAGAGACGAGAACGCTTAGCTTCTCCAGTATTGAAGTAGATTGGCATTCTTGGGAAAGCCTTTTAATTCTCCCAGACCAAAGTCACTATGTGATCCTCAGAGTATTTTTAGTTTCAGAAATAATTTAGAATCCTAGGTTGACCTACACCAGTCGAGTTGTAATGTGCCTGCTGGTGTGCTCATAGTTCATTGGTTCCCCAGTGGCTAGTGCCATTAGTCATAATGCCAGATCCATTGTCAACACGTGGAGGCAACAAAAATATCCCATTGAGGGTTGCAAAGGCAAATAATTTTTATGACATGCTTTAAGAGAATCCGGTGAAACCGATTTGAAAAGTAGTTTTTTTCATATAAAATGATATTACATTCAAGAGTTGGCTTCTTTAGGATCTCATTTAAATTTGAAGAACTAGTGTCAGGGTGTTCGAGTGGTAATATATATTTTGAATAATACTGGTGATTTGCCAGGCAGATTAGTGGTTTTATAAACTTTGAAAGTGATTAATAAATCTGGGAATAAGAAAATGGCTTTCTAGAACTTTTTCATGGGAAAAAGAAACAACTTGGATGACAAACTAAAACAGTGAGTAGTAGGAATAATCTCAGGTGATTTTCATATAAGTATAATATGTTCTAGGCAGTTAGCTTTATCTGTGCGTGTGTACTTGGATCTCTAAAAGTACCTTTTGAGCAGAAATATTTAATGTTCAAGAAAATTAAGAATAAGAAATTGTTTTTTATATGCCATGGGATTATCTGAGTACCCCATATAGCATAATTTTTTCTTTTTTTCTCTAAACTTTGCAGGAATATCTTTGGGCATTTTTTTGTTTGATTGTTATTGATTATTCTCTGAAATTCAGCTTTAAGAAGGTGGTATCTTAGAAAATTAAATTTTTGTTACCTGAAGGAGTATTTTCATACATTTGTTTGATTCCTTGTCAGAGTAAATTCTGTGGGCTTGTATATTAAGTCAGTCTAAATAAACAATGATAAAACCGTATTTATTTTATAAATCTGAACACTTTGTACATTCCAGTATTTTCGGTGCTGCCTTACTTTTATCATACTTTAAATGATAATTATGCTGAGCTAATAAATTTCATTAACAAGCAAACATAGATAAGGAAAACCATGAACAAAGCCTTTCCTTTAACTGTTGAATTTTAAAGATTTTATCATTTTAGAGAAGAATGATTGCTTTGGAGGAAATACATTCTTTTCAACATATTCTTTATGTGATTTTGTTTTTCCATACCATTTTGGCTCTTAGGAAAATCTGGAGAAGATGGGGCCTCATGTTCTGGATTTGCAATTAGAATTTGATGAACAGGCAGTGCTTATGGAGAATATAGTCTACCTGACTAATTCCCTTGAGGTAAGAGGGCCAGGGATTGTAATAACTAGTCAACTATAGTAAACTGTAATCCAGTTCTTTTATTTTATAATAAACCTTTTTATAAACTTCATCTTATATGTTTAGTATCTTTGCCAAATATATCAGTCAAAAATATTTTTGGAGGGAAAGAGA